ATTTGCTCCAAAAATATAATAGTAATCTCAGTAGGTTAAAAAATAAGAACAAAATGATTGAGCAAAAAAGAAGACAAGGAACCCCTGACTAATGAGATTTTAAAGTAATAAAATAGCTCAATGAGAAAAACAATAATTCTAAAAAATGCTCTGTTTTAAGTGGGGCCTCGGATTTATATAATATAGGGGTGGATTGAATATGACTCCTGCAAGCAAATTGCTATAATTGCCACTAACTAACCAATTATTATTGCTAATAAACTCCTTTACCAGCATGTTAACATAGGGGTGGTAAGTAATTTATACTTTTAACAAAGGTGTGAGCATCCAGACACATCACAGGTTCACGGCTTATATACAGATCAGAAGAAGTATCTTTTCTCATGATTTCTTTCCACATACCTTGATTAGCCCTTCTTGAAATAATATCTCAATCACTTCCTTTAGAATTGGGAGTAAACCAGAGTGATGTACTCCTATTCCACGTTTCAGCAAGGGCAGCATGTTGGAAACCTGAAAAAAAAAATCAACAAAATAAAAGTCACCTTAAAAGTGTCACAAATGCAACTAAAACAAATCAGAGTATTTCTAGACAGTTAGTCAGAAATCAATGCAATAGCATTAAGATATGACAAGCTTAAAGGTCAAACAATTGAAACAAGTTTTGGGAGGATTCCAATGCAGGCAATGTCTGTTGCTAGAGGCTTTCCCCGACTACACAATCTTTCTACTATCAGCATAGTTCCCCCAAAAACAATTTTCAATAATCTCATTCAAATAGGAATATTCATTTCAGTAGCAAGAGGTAGATGAGTTACAATCTTTACTCGAGTCCAACACTTGTCTGCTTGCCCGGACAATATCTCAGGGCCTGGACTCTTCTGAATTTGTTCTTAAACACTTCACCAGATCCTCACTTCCCTAACCAGAAAAATATCCTTCTTGATAAAACTATCAAGATAGAAGTCCAAAGCTCCAAGGCAGTGGCACTGTCTGGACAGCAGTTTTAACAGGACTGAAACAACAATTTGCTACAGACTAGGTGTGTGTTTGGTTCAACTTCTTTTTGAAGAAATAATCACTTATTTTGAGAGTTTTTGAAAGCATAACCAAACATGCTAAAGCACTGACACCTTTTTGTGAAGTAACCCTTTCTGGATTTTCCATGAGCACTAGACAAGTCTGCCTACCTTTGAGCAGTTCTACTTCTAGCTATTTTGGCAAAACCAAGAAGGTATTTTTTTGACAACATGAAATCTTTGCCTTTTTTGGTGCTTTTGGTTAGAACTGAAGAAAGGACCAAAAAGGGAACAATATCCTTGCACTGAAATTTAATTTAGTATTGAATTGTGTTCTTAGCTTCTCCTAGGTGCTCAGAAGATGATTATTTCAAGTGTGTTGTCATATCCAATTTCAGAAAGGGAAGGAGCTGATTTACTGGCAATGTTGCCCCTGACTTCATTGCTTCCTTTGTTTTATTTTCTTCTGTTTTCATTTTTTTCTGTTCTTCACTCTTGAGGATGTAGGGATATCACATCCTCACCCTGGCATACTTCTTTGTTCTGTTGAGAAAACAGAAATTGCAGTTTAATTATAGGAACAGGGGTTAAGGACTGAACACTGGCCACTTGGTCATAGGAGGCTTTGATACAATATATAAGGTTTGAAAAGAAAGCTGGAAACAGGTTACAATGTTACATTGCTTTTAGCGCAGGTATGTATAGATAGATTTACATCTTTTTGATTTGAATCAACAATTTATCCACACTATGCAGTATGCACAATCTGAATATATGATCTTAAATTTAGGAACATCATTGTCCAATATATTCTTTTGATAGAACACATTTTTTTTAACAGATAAAAAGGAAGAAAGCACAACTACAACAACAAGTCTTATCCTACTAGGTGAGTTCAACTACATGGACCACATGACACCATTGAGCTCAGTCAAAGACCAAATTCTCAGGGAGGAAAGTGCAACTACAAAGGGATATATCCTTGAAACAACCATGATCAGAGCACCAAAGGGAAGCCAAAATTAAAATGCTTAAATTGAAATATAATCCGATATCATAAATGAGAAATAAAATGGTTGAATTTTGAAACACAACTACAGCAAAGCTTGTCCAGCGGAGATTAGGTAAAGTTTCCTAATAACCCAAGCCCAATAAATCTTAACCCCACCACTAGTTCTGTGGAATTCTTGTTTTCTTCAATAGTAGGGTGCAACAGAACTGACATGGAAATTGAGTTTGGCTTCAAATCTTTCCTCCCCAAATAAGAAGGAACTTAAGTTAAATCAATAAGAACCACTACTTATTTTGTAGAATAATTTGAGAAACAAGAAGCACTAAAACTCAGTAATCTGCAAAAGCAGAGTGAGGAGGGAGGGGGAACCAAAGTTAAGGAAGTATCTTGCCTGGGGCAGTTTCTTATCATCGTCTGAAAGCATGTCCATAGCACTACAAAATATTTGTTCTATGTTGTCCTTCTCATTGTCCCCATTAAGATCCATTTTTGCCATCTACGGAAACAACAAATAGCATTACAGATACAATATCATACACGAAAGAATGAATGAAAATAAATAGATACTTTTAACAATAAGCAGCCATTTGGACGTTACCTGCATTGCAAGAAGCTCACACTCCCTTTTGCTAAAGCTGAACAGTATCACAGGATCATATTGACGCTGAATGATCATTTTCACCATCTTGAATATATCACTTTCTTCACCAGCTCGACCCAGCACCAAACCCTTTTGCCGCTTTCCATTTTCTTTTTTCTTATCACCCTCAGTGGCAGGAACAAGAGCATTCAAAGCTTTCTGAAAACTGTCTTCACGAAACTTTCCCCTTTCATCCACAACCAAAAATAGACCATCACCTCCAGAAGGGAAAATATAATGCTGAAGGGGAGTTGGTCGGTAATCAGTATAAACGACATGACAAGGTTGTTGGTGAACCTGCAAGTAAGCTAAAGCATTAGAGCAGCGGTAGCAGCAAATAATAATCCCTCCCTTCTACCCACACCCCACAAATTTAAGGTAATAAAGAGCAACTGAATCAATGAACGACCTTTGCCACCCAATCAGCGAATTCCTTGGCATTAGGGACAGTGGCAGAGAGAAAGACGAAGCGCGAATTCTTGGGCGACAAAACAATGCTCTCTTCCCAAACCACGCCTCTCTCACGATCACGCATGTAATGCACCTCATCAAAAACAATCCAAGCCACCTCCCTGGTGATCTCAGACCCTTTGTACTGCATGCTACGCCAGATTTCTGTAGTCATGACCTGAATCAAACATATTTGAGTTTCGAGACAAGACATGACTCATTACGAAGGAAGCTAAAAAGAGCAGAGTGGCATAAGGTTCTAAAAGACATTCGAGGAGTGCCTCGGGAAGGGCATACCTACCAAGCAAGAAGCATTGGGATCAATTGTGACGTCTCCGGTCATCAAACCGACGTCAGAGAACTCCTCCTTGAATTCCCTATACTTCTGGTTGCTGAGAGCCTTGATAGGGGAAGTGTAGATGACGCGCTGGCCGTTTCGGAGGGACATAGCAATTGCATACAACGCCACCACGGTTTTCCCAGCAGAAGTGTGTGCAGACACCATGACGGACTCGCCGTTTTCGAGACAAGTAATAGCCTGAGACTGAAAGGGGTCGAGAGTGAAGGGAAAGGTCTTGGCAGGTTCCGCCTGAGTTCGATTGGGAGGAGAAGAAGGGTGGACGTAACCATCTGGATACGAGACGTGGTGCACGCAATCGTGCAGTGGTTGCCAAGTTGAAGAAGCCTCTTCTGCCAACTTCCTCTTCATTGTTGCTTAGTATTATGGGTAGAGAAGAATAAGCAACCAAAACCCTAAACCCTAACCAACAGAAGCAGTAGCAGAGAGAGGAAGTAGCACCTGGACTCGACAGCGATTAGTGAATCATACTATACCCTCATCACTCTTCAACTATTTCTGCCTTAATATAATATTTATTTATATATATAATTTATTATAAATTTAATTATATAATAAATAGTTAATTTATAAAATGTTTAGAATAAAATATTAGTGCTTTTTTTAATATTCATATTTTTATGCCAAAAATATATATCATTATTTTTATAATAAAAAAGCCATTAAAATTTAATTTATCAAAATTTATAAATAAAAAATATATATTAAAAGACTAAGATAATTATTTTAACTTATATATAGAGAATACATTTCTATTTATTTATGTCGAATGTTTTCTATCGGTATTTGTTAATTTAAGCGATAAAAAATTCCATTGTCTTTATTGTATGAGTAGTTGTACCTCCTTGATACTATTTTTTTCATGATGAAAAAATCTAATAGAAATTTCTAGTAATAATTCAATTATACATTTAAGACAATCAAAGACTTATATTTTTAATAAAAACAAATAAAATATAAGACTATATGTGTATAACACAAGACTAATATTTTTTTTCTTTTACTAATCATAGTAATAAAACACCTTATAAAAACAACTATCAAAGTATTTAAAGTTTTGTCTATTAAGTGATTCACCGGTGAAAATGTCTTCAAACTTCATTCTAGATGGTCTACTAATACAACAACAAAATATGTAAAACTTAAAAAATTAAATAATAAAAATTGTAAAATAGTAAGATATGAGTGAAAAAAAAAAAGTAATTAAATCTAATACAAATGAAGAGATGAAGTACCGTATCAATCATTTTCTTTTTTTATTTTTTTCCATTTTTTTTCTTCTTCGACACCCCACCTATTAGTTCACTAATTGTTTGGCTTATATCTCGTAATCCTCTTTGTTTGATAATCAACTATCTTCTATAAAAGAACATTTTTTTTATAATTTTTTTGATCATCAAAATCAAATTTAATGCAAAAAATTTAAAAACAGCCAAAGTATTTTGTTCAATCAACTAATCAACTTAGTGAACTTTAAAACTCAACTAAGATGACGACAAACAAGATTTAGTTTCCCTTTCATCCATGTATCTTTCTCTACCTTTAAGAAAAGTGAATAAATAATATTTATACAATATTTTGTATAATATTATTTTATAATATTACACAAATTATTGTAACGTGTATCATTTAAAAAAAATATATTAAAAACTGCATAAATAATGAGACAGCAAAATTGAACTATCCAAATATAAACATTGTAATAAATTCAGTCGGTATTAATAATCATAATCTTTTCTGAATGAAAAGCTCCATCCTCATGACCAGCCACTAGTACTCCTTTCCATCTTATTTTATCAGTAATTTCTTTTACTTTAAGAATTACATCTTCCTCATCTCTAATGATAACAGTTCCTTTGGGACGAAGAATGCGATGTATCTCCACAACAATATCACTAATATCACACCTACAAGAAGCATTATTATATATTAATATAACATAAATAGCTATATATATTACATACATAAAAAACACTTATCATTTAAGAATGCAAGAAAGAATTGTAAATCTAGATCACATATTTATATATTAATAATCAAAATGAAAAGTTAACTACAAGACATATAACTACTTAAAAAGTCATGTTCATTTATTTATTTTTATTAAAATACTTTTTTAGTTCGTATGTTTTTACTTATTTTATCTTTTAAATTTTATAGTTTAAAATAATATTTTTAGTTCCTATATTTATTTTATTCAATTTTTTAAAATTTTTATAGTTTTAGATAGATTTTTTAGTTTATATACTTATAATTTTTTAATTTTTTTAAAATTTTTAACGTTGTGTACGTATTTTGTGTTAGCATGATAGATGTCTTTAATTTTATGAGGGCAAAAAAGGACATTTAACATCACAAGTAAAGATATAAAAAAGATATGAAACATCAAAAAATCCAATTTAAAATAACTCTTACAAAATAAATTCAACATACAATATATATTGACACAAAATTGAATTAATACTTCTGACACATTAATTTAAAAAGACAACATTAAAAAAAATTAATAACAAGAATTAAAAGGATTAAAAAATTAAAAAGACTTAAAAAGATCTATCTTAAACTATATAGATTAAAAATGATTGAAAAATATATAAAAACTAAAAAAAAATATTTTAAATTATATAGATTAAAAGGTAAAATAAATAAAAGTATAACATATAAAAACTAAAAAAATATTTTAACCTTTATTTTTTAATCTTGATCATCTAAAAGCATTGATAAGAAAATAATGTATACTGGTATGATTAAGCTTACTTGTCCTTGTACATGGTGAATATACCACTAGCATGTATCAAGTCATATGTTCGTGGGTATGTCGAGAAGGGCTCACACCTGTAACCAAGGAAATGTTGTTCCTTCATTATTTCAACCTCAAAATTACATACTCAAATGCAGACAAAGACCAAGTATATGCATAGTAAAAACGAATCACCTGTCGAGATGTCCAAATTGGGAGATACTAAAGGATTGAAAGGACAATATGCAAGTAACTTTAGATTGAAGAAAAAGAGGGAAATGAAATAAAAACAGAAAAATCCAATTTAGTTTAGAAGTCTTTGTAGCTTATTATTAAATATATATCACACATTAGTAATCATGCCACATCACAAAGTAAATGCATTTTATTTTAACTTTACTCCAATTTACTTTACATCTTCAAAACCTTATAGCAAATCAGACCAGTATAGATATTTTTAAAGCAGAAAGTAAAAATAAAACCAAAATTGAAAAGATTTTTCAGAAGTTAAAAAGGAGAAAGTAAAGATGAGAAGCTGTGCATACCAATCCATGTATGTTCCTATAAGGCCTCGTTCATAGATAATGCCAAGATTGTTGTATTTTGCATCAAATGGAACAACATTCATGACCCAAACAGGATATTTAACCATTGCAGCCGCAAATCCTCCAAAGCCAGCATTCATATCCATAACATTTCTATATTTACCTGAAGAGAGGGAATTAAGCATGACCCCATAATTGGACACTCTCCTTTTCCATGTCCGATTATCTTCAATATAGGTTTGGAGTGTCAAGCCATCATTATTTTCATTTCTAACCCTTGGTGGAACAGTGTTCAACCTCATAGGCCATTTCTCAAGAACACCACCAGATGTATTATGGACATATTTCACGTCTGGAAGAGGAAAAATGCATGCAGTCATTTTGGTATACCTGTTGAATAGTTTATACCTATGAAACATGAATATAATACAAGGGAAAATGATCTAGACTATAAACAGATTATGAAAAAACAAATCACATGATGCCATTCACCTCAGTTAAAGACCAACTCTCTAGAAATATAGTATCCCTTTTAACAACTTTTTCTAATGTCCTTCTAAGTCCTCTTTTTACAGGAGTTAAAATCATGTAATCTACTTTTTTAACAACAATGGTAATTTAAAATGGGAAAAAAGTTACACCATCATTCAATCAGAAACCATTATATATAAGATATTTGTTGACTTTTATGATAAGTACTTTAACAGTTATAACTTTTGAGTAATTAACAATGTAAAACTTTCTATACAGAGTACAAATAATGCATGACTATTAAACCTAATTAAAATAAAGAAAAATACCATCCAGCGTCAGGGTCAGATGAGTTGCAGAACGTGGGGGATGGCAAAGTCTTCAGCTTCTGTATGCAGCTACTATGATCTATGGGTTTTTGCCAGACAGCAATGTTGTCTCTCTCAGCAACTTTTTCCCAGCACAGTTGCATGGCAAGGTCTTCTAAAACATTTTGCTCCTTTTCCAACACCTGAGGCTCTGTTTGCCACGCATTGTAGTTTACCTTCCAATTTATGGGTGGCCCAGACAGTACCCAAAATCCACCAGGACGCAAAACCCGGTCAATTTCCCTTAGGTAAAGCCCATCTTTAAAAAATTAAGCAAATATCAAATAGTAGAATCATAAGTTGAAACCAAGTTCTCTACAATGAATATGCTGAATAAATTTGTGACATTAAATGAAGCCGAGAGTTGTTTCTTATATTGAAACACTTGATTGTGGCATTAAATGAAGTTCCCAACTGATTTATATTTATATAATATAAACCACATGGGGGTATCTGTATTACCATCTTAGTTCATTTTAAAATCAATTAAGTAAAAAAATGTGCAATAGTTATAAATACTGCACCTCATTAATTGAGATGTCAATAGGTGATGTAGTGAAGAGATTAAAGTGATTAAAGTAATACCATAAGCAGTCCATGGGACGAGGCATCTAGAGCAATGAGCCATATCAAATGATCTTGAGGGGAATGTTAGTCTATGAGTGCTTAGTACGCCAAGCATTGCTGGAAGTCCCCTTTCTAAGGCAAACTGTACTTGAGCATCGTGTTCATCACTTGGTGCAATTGACATTGTCAAGATATCATAGTCCATCAGAGAAGCTCCAAAGCTTGCAACCTACAATTATGCAACAACATGAAAGGACAATCAAATCCTAGGTTCTCGGTTGCAGAAGGGGAACTTTAATCAAACAAAGTGTAGTCTAAGGGAGACATGGCAACCCAGAGTCCATACAATTACATAAAGAAGAATAATAACAATATATGCACGGATAGTAAAAAATATTTTATACCGTCATTTAATCACAAATTGTTAATATGGTTATTGATTTTTATATTAGTTAATCTTAAAAGTTATATCAGTAAAAAAATATACTGATAGTACATACTAATTAAACTCTAAAAAGAAGGCAGTCCAAGGGGTTTTTTTTTTGTTTTTTCTTTATTTTTTTTTTAAGTTGTTTTAATAAACTAAAAGTTGTGGCGAAGATTTATGTAGCAACAAATCCATGTTGGATATCTGTTGTATGTGTAAAAATACTTTGGGTGGATAGGAATTTCAGTGCTGCAAATGAGATTAGTTTCTCAGCCATTAGTATTGGGTCAGGAATACTAGCTTGTGGCTGGAGAAAAAAAAAACTCTTCATTATACATAAGCTTTCATCTTATAAGAGCTTATTTATCGAATACTTAATTAAGCTATTTAACAAAAGACATCCTAAAAAGCCTCTCTGTTTTTCTTCCACGAGAAACTCCTCAAATGGTCATTTGCAATTGCATTGACCGCTAAGTCTGCAAGCTAAAAAAGGACGAATGACCAACTTTATTTTTCACAATGATAACAGGCCAAACGGGAAAGGACAAGAAAAAAAATAAAGATAAGGCACTGAAACAGTTCAAAGAAAGAGAAGAGAAGAGAAGGAAAGATAGAACATAGCTAAACCAAGCTCACCCCACAACCAACATCAAGAACGGTTCTAACATCCCCAGATTCCAAAGGCACAGGAAGAAGATGGTTTAGAGCATCAACATAAGCCTTAACTCCTTCCGGAAACGAAGTGCCACCACCGGGAAACACAAAACGCTCACCCTCCAACCTAACCCAGTTCTGCGACTTCTTATACTCCACAAGCTTGGGAAAAGGCACGTTGCTGAACCATGCACTGTCCTTACTCTGAGGCCAAGGAAACGTGGTTTTGTACCCCAATGGGGTTGGAACGAGGCACCTCAGCCTCTCACTGGTTTTGGGACAGTGACGCTCTTTGCGGAACAATTTGGCTTTGGGAAAACGTTTCTGTCTTCTGGGGTCTTGACATGGACAATGGTTGGTGTAGTTACTTGGACACAACTCAAAGGGTGGTTGCAGGTGCAAGTGCAAATGTTGGTGGAGATGAGGTGAGGTGAAGAAAGAGGAGGCAATGAGGATGTAGAAGAGAGAGGCTAGGAAGAGAATTGAGAAGATTTTGAGGCATGGAGTGGTCATCATCATCATCAACTTTGAGGTGAGATGTTTTGCTTTGTGTTGTTGACTTTTGTGAACTTGCAAAGTGTGCTTCTGAGATAAGTCTAGTATTTATGGATAGATATTATAGAAGAGGATCATCCTATGTTTTTGTTTGTGTTGTGTGTGTGTGAATGAGGGAAGAATCTTGGTGTTAATATTTTAGTAGAGAAAATAACACAGCAGAAGGCACGCAATGGAAAGCGCTGTGATGAAAAAAATAAATTAGGATTAGGAAGGAATCATTGGTGGAACTACCTGCTAGGTTTTTGGATGCCTATTATGCCACGTGAAGTGCTAAACATTACAATTAAGTGTTTTGGTATAGTTATGTATTGGATTTAGGGTTTAGGTCAATAACTAAATATGTTCATGTATTTAAGCACGAGAGAGAAGGAGAGATTTTGGGAAAGAAAAATTCGTTTACATTTGAGTTAAGAATACACTTTTTATAAAAATTCACACAAAAATGTTTCTAAGTAACCCTCTTTCTGATCTCATATATAAGAAAAATACATAAATTTATACATATCGAAGAAAGTTGTTAAGTTTATTTAATTTTATTTAAAAATTAAATATTTTTTTTAAGCTATTCTTAATAATATTTATAAGGAACAGTAATTATATTTAATTCAAAAAGTATTTTTGAAATGATAATATTGAATAAAATTAAGTTAGTTAGAATTTATTTATATTTAAGTAAAAAAAAATTAAGTACTTTTTTATTATTTATATATGATTTCAGAGAAAGTAAATGTTACACCAAATTAAACATGCAGTTTGATTTGGTGGAGGATGCCGTAAAGTTTCTCTTAATTATATGTTAATTTTGATTAGATATATATAAAGCTTTTATTTAGATATTCTTTTATCAGTAAAATATTATAATGATAGTAAAAGAATTTGAATTTAAATTTTGTATATATTACTTTAACTCTTATCACTATATTAATATGTAATAGTTATTTTTTTAAAATGTAAAATCATCTTAATATTATATTTTTATACTATCAACAAATCAAATTTTCTTATATATTTGTTAAACTTGTGTATTTTAAACATTTGAGGTATATTTATAAATTCATGTAAATATATAAATTTTACTAATTATTACATTGTTTAATATTTTGATTATAAGAATGAGATATTAAATTATTTTATATTAATATAAAATTTTGTATATATAATTTTAGAATAAGAAATATTTAATTTAACGACAAATTTTAAAAAAATCACATTTATTATAAAATTATTAAATAGTATAATAATTGATATAAATTATACTAGTATTATTTAAGCTTTTATAATATATATATATATATATATATATATATATATATATAATATATATT